CAATACTATAAATCAAACAGACACCATAGGAAAATATGAAATGTATTTTCAAGGAATGCTTATAAAGAAATCATGCAGGATTCAATCCTATAAATCAAACAGCCACCATAGGGAAAATTTCTAAGGATTGTAACCCTACAAAATTACTTTGAATCAAAGAAGTCTTTGATAAACTCAAACTCGTCATGATGGAACACGAACAACAACAACACGGGGGGTTAAAGGACACGAGAAGCAAACCAAACGCAAGGAACACTAGACCTCAAGCAAAGCATCCCAACACATAGAGCAAATGTAGCGGCTGGAACTGATACTGCCCTAAACCCATCTTAAAAGAATCTCCACTGCTGAAACATGCAACACGTAGAAGCAAGGACCAAAAATGCAGTCCTGCAACCAACGGAGGAACAAAACGTGATGGGATGCTGCATGCCATCTTGCATGGTGCCAGCGCTGAAGACTGGAATGAAACCAGCACCATCGAAGAAAGAAGAAACGGAAACAAAAATAACACCTGCTCCACTTCATCACCCCCTGTGATGGGTGGATCATGGATGAGCCAAAACTTCCATAACCTGCGACTACACCTCAATTCAAAGTTGCAGCAACAAAGATACCGAGATCCCATCAAATTAGCCTAGCGCGGTTAAATTACATGGTTCCAACAATTTCGATTACACGAGCAGGGAATGAGGGGTGACACTTGGGACTAGACACAGCAAAATGCTACTAAGCTGCTAACTCGCTATAGAAAGCTGCTGCAGGAAGATTGATCCGCTTGCAAACTGTCGCTGATGGATGCGAAAGGCCACCATTCGCCTGACAAGTTCAAACCTTCATGGATGTATTCAGAACAGCCAAAAAGCCCAATGCAACAATGTTAGAGACGTGGACTGCCCAACTTCGACAGAACCTTGGTTCTCACAACTTCAGCTCCTAAAGATGCACCGCAAATAAGGCCATCCCACATTTAACTGGTGTAGAGAAACACCTCAGGCACTGAATAAGGATCGAGCTCGAAACAGCCTCGAAGCTTGCCTGCTTTTTCATTTGTCAGACGGAAGCAAGGGACGTGGTGAGCGAACTTTGGGTACTCATCCTTGCTTATTGTTTTCACATCTGCCCCTCTTCGAAATACTGCCCTGTAGCCATCCACCTTTCCTAAAGGCTGAACTTGTATGGACGAATCAGTCTGGCCAACAATCTCCACAAATTCATACTCACAGTTTTTAAAGTCTTCTGCAGTCCATCCAGCCCTCCAGTTCTTGTAAACGGCCCAGATGTCACGGAAGCGAGGGATTATTTCATATTCATTTTTTCTACCAGTTGATCTAGCAACCACGGGATGAGAAAATGACTCTGTACCAGTGTAAGTCGTAGTACCATCATTGCCAGAGGAAACCTTAAAGATTCCACACGCAAGAGTCCGGTCTTCTTTACCAGTCAATCTTTTCTCCTCCTCTCCCCGAGGACAGAGATCAAGCCATTTCACTTGTACTTTATTATTCTTGAGATCGACTTTCTTTATGATGGCATAGTAATTGGGGAACTTGTCCATATCACTATAGAGAGCCCAGATCTGCCCAGGTTCGAACTTCTGAATCGACCTTATTTCTGTAAATTCATAGAATTCTGAGTCAGGACATTCAAATTCATCCTGGACAATGCCATCAGATTCCTCATTAACATCCACACCTTCTACAGTAGATGGAGTATGATGCTCTTTGTTCTCTTCCTTTGTTGCTCTTGTAAAGAGCCCTGTATTCATACATGTAGCATGTGGCACCTCCCCGACCTTCTCAGACCCCTTGCCAGAATTAATTCCACTGGATGAACCAGCATACTTGGTATCAACCCCCTTGCCTTTTACTGTGCTTTCCAGAACAACAGAAGCAAAAGCCTCTTCCAAGTTAAGGGGAAGCGCTGCAGGATCAAGTTCAATAGCTCCTTCTGGAATGCCTTCTCTTTCAGTCCCGCGCATGAGATGATGAGGGACGCAATGAGAAAATCTTAGTGTGTTATCCTGAGGTATCACACATGGAGTTGCCTCTTTCGACTGCATAAATAAGCTAACAAAGCCTTTTATTTTTACAAGTGGCACGACAATGATGCTAGTGCTGGTTGTGAAATCCGTGACAACTTGAACAAGTTCATACTCAAAATCTGTGTGGCTATCAGCATCCGAACTCCAGCCGATGTCCCATCCCTTGTGCAGGGCCCAAACTTCACCTTTCCTAGGATATATCTCATACGAGTTTTTTGTCTTGCTTTTCGCACAGGAAATAGTTTGGGAAAACATATTAGCTTCTTTAGCTGTGTCTGATGTTCCATGCTTAAAATGTCCACAAGCAACAGGCAGTTCTGCGCGTGACCATGCCAGCTCTGCTTCATTTGTGGGATCCAATTCCAGCCAAACAAAGTGTACTATAAACTTTGGGGCCATTTTTACCTTTGTAATTCGAGCATAAAATCTTGGCATGCAGCCATGACTATCATAGACAGCCCAGATCTGGTTGGGTCTAAACTGACTTACATCTCGAAGTTCGTCAAAGTTAAAAAATTCAGGATCTGCGCAGCTAAATTTTTCCTCATCTGAAGCATCATCAAGGTTTGGGTCTAGACCATTGCTGCTGACAGAATTGGATGTTTCTTCTTTCTCGTGATTAAGACCATTTGTGTGACCATTATGCCCAGTTTTGTCTTCATCAAACTTTGGTGTGCTGCTTTGATCATCACCATGCAACACACCACCTTTCCTTAACCTTTTAAAATTGGAAGAACTGACATTATTATCGTCGTCATCATTACCATCATCACCAATATCCTCGTCTTCACTATCTTCCTTATACTTAACTTCTTGCTTCTGCCTACTTGACCTGCGGCTGTGTTGACTCGGCTTTGCATTATTTGCAGCAGCACCATCTACAGTGATCTCTTCTTCACTATCAGTGGTGGTCTCCGAATCACTAGATTCAGACACGGCTCTCCTGCCCCTTTTCAATCCTGCAGCTGATGAACCTTTTGAAGTCCGAGCAAATTTTGCTTTCTCATTTGGTACACCTGCAGCACTAGCACTATTACCATCTTCCCCCTTCTTTTTGTTTGTATTTGCAGCTGCCTTATGAGATCCATAATTAGCATGAACCCCTGGAGTGGCATTATTCCAAGCCTGTTGACCTGGGGCATTTGTCTGCCGGCCTGCAAAATTCTGTGGTGCCCCTGCATTTTTTACCCCAGCATACTGTCGATCTGCCCCAGAAGGAACAGCTTGCTCATTTATATCATGTGCAATAAAAGGCTTCAAACAACTCTGACAACGGATAGCTTTCTTCAACATCGCAGTGTAGTACTGATATCTCATGCCACAACTTGAACACATGGTCCAGAATGTTTGTTGTGTCCCTGCAGAATTTGAGGGCTGATGAAGATTCACAGGTCTAACAGGAGCAGCTCTCCTTGACTGCTGATAAGGGGATGGTCTTGCTGCACCAACTCTGACTGAGACTCTCCTTTTCATGTCATAGGCAGAACGTTTTGAGCTGTCTGTAAGCGTCATGTTTGCTTCTCCCACTAATTTAAATGCAGCCTCTGCACCTGCAAACTTGTTCTTGTCGGGATGCAGCAAAAGCGCAAGCTTACGGTATTGCTTCTTTATTAGTGTGTCATCATTCGTGAAAGCAGGTACCTGAAGTATCCCATACCAGTCAAGCTCTCCATTAACCTTCGTTCCAGCAGCACAATGAACATCACAGACAGTTAACATTTGTGAAATATTGTCAATCTCTGAGAACAGTTGTTGTGCTTTGATGATCAATTTTTTTGCACCAACAAAATCCTTCTCCAGCAATTTTCTTTCAGCCAGAGCTTTTGCTCTAATAGCTTCCTCTTTGTTGCAGTCCATGATAACAAGTATAAAGAATCAATATCCAAACTCCTAACCGCTCTCATGCAGAAAGTCCCAGTAACAAGAAAGACTGTTTCTTTCTCTCCATTCTTTTTCTCATAATAAACAATATGGATGGTGCACCTTATTGCAATACTGCCTTCAGTTAATTGTAGTATCCAGAATAACCAACCTCAAGGTACAAAATACGTTCAGGAGCTGAGATATACTTAAAGAGCAGTACACTAAATAAATTAACTGGTCAGCCTGCATGAAACAAACAATGATTATGGTTAATAAATTTGATAAGCATATGCAAGAAAAAACAGAAGGTGTTTTTTGCCACAGAAGAACAAAAAAAATGCATTTATTGCCTCGCTCAAGAGATAAAATCGCCTCAGACGACATTGGTTTAGCATTAGTGCTGACACGAAAGGCTGTTAGCAATCTAAAATGAAATGTGCGCATAGTAAATCAATAATATAAACAATTCAGGTTTAAAGAAATATGCGCTCAAGTAACCGAGCAACAACAACCAGAGCAAGTAACAACTCATTAGCCTCTTCCTGGGTTCCAGCTAAGCCCCAACTACAACCAGAGCAAGTAACAACTCAGTTGTCCTACGGATTACGTTAAGCTGTTTCTTTTACTTTTGGGGGATGTGTGTGCGGGGGGTATCTTTCTCTGTTTAGAAAGCACAATTCATTGGGCTATTCCTTGGTTCCAGCTAAGCCCCACAAACAACCAGAACAGGGTTTTGACAGTTTCAGTACATTATTTTATTCTAATTCGATACAGCTTGCTGAAGGAATAAAAGCAGGAAATAATTTGATATCTGAAGTCTCGAATGTGTTATGTACAGAAACAGAAAAATAATGCTGGGATATGGCAAACATGCATTTTAACAAGAATGACAGATTCAAAACTAGTGCATGAAAGAACTGTGCATCAATCTGCACACAACTGTGGTCTGTTAATGTCTTCAAATTTTAAAATTGACAATAAGAACAAGACTGAAGCAACAGCACATATTTTCTGCACAACACAATGTATTTAATAAAGCTCACAGATGTAATTTCTGAGATGTCACTTCAAATTCACTAGCCATGGATCAAGGTGGAATATACTTACTATAATCATTAAGATATTTTACATTAAAAAGACTAAAGTGGTCTATCACAACATAACCGGCTGGGATATAAACTATACTAAAGAAATGCAAAAAATTGGAATGGAAATTCCTTGATTCATAATATACAGGAACTTGAGAAATTTTATCATCAAGGTATGGGGCCACTTGCCTGATACGACAGTAACTTCAGGGTAGAGTGTGTACAATTTGCATAGAATTGGTGATTCAAAGAAAAATAAGTAGGATTCACAACAAACTTTGCATAACTAAATTTCTTTCTTAGAGGCTAAGAATGTAACTAAAATATCAGTGCATTTGCAGTATCTTTGGTTTCAGCCAAAGGCAAATATCTAGCACTAATCAAGAGATTTGTAAATCTCATGGTAAATGGACCCACAACATTGCAAATAACAGAAATCAAGTACACGATTACACATCAGATATCGTGAGGGTGCACTAAAGGTTGCATGTCTTATGATGTTGTACAACTCTAGTTCCAATTAAGCCAGTTAGGCAAAAAGTAAACCTTAGTACCTTACAGTCAAATCAGCATTTCGGACATTGATAATAAAATATGTTCCAGAATTCAAACACGCAAACTATAAACAAACCCCTGTGTAGAAGGCCGAATGCCTAATGTTGCATCTAGAAAGCAGTAGGACAAATTACCCAGTTGTGCCAAATAATAGGATGCATGGAAATAAAGTTCCTGTGAATTAAGCTAGTATTGTACATAAGGATAGGACAAACAATTTCAATGTCTGTTTGGACAGTAGTGCTTCTTAAAGGTGCAAGAGAACGGGAAAAAGTACTTACTACTTACCACAGAATACAGATGACCATCATAACAAACACAGCAAGGACAAGCTTGGTATTATCTGCGAAAATAATGATAATGAGAATCATATGCAAATTTCAAATGTAATTCTACATATCAACTTCATATGTCCCTCCCTACTTGCCTCTCTCTAACACACACACGCAATAAACATAATAAATCAGCCAAAAAACAAATATGATAGCAGGCTATACATTGTTTTTATTTTTGGATCCACAGTTATGTAGGGACTAGGGAGGTAAGGTGTCAAAAACACGCCCTGGAGGCAAGCATAGGGTCGACTATATTTCATTGTATTCGTGATTTTTTTGATAGTTTGTTCAGTGAATAATATCACCACAAGTGTGACTTCGTTGTGAATACTCCGTGTTTATGTTTACAATGTTTATTTTAAACAGATCTTGGAACGTTAAACCTATGAGATTCGTATTTCATAATTATAGAGATGGAGATATTAAACCAACAACACAAGACACATGTTTGAGGGTGTGGCACCCACAGCCACTATGAAACAACACAAGAACATTGTATTCTTCGTGTCGACGGGTAGTCTTACAAACAATGTGTGCTCAAGATGTGTAATTACTAATAGGAGAAATGGTTCGAATCTTCAAGCAGGAAAGCTACTCGTATCCCCTAGTACCCCTTTTTTGCCCGTGAAAGAGAAAGGATCTCTTCATCTGCGCGCGCGCGCATGTTCAGACAAGATTATGACCTCAAAACACTTCGGTTTTACCCCAGCCCTATTTTCGCCTCAAGACGCTAAAGCGGGGGTTCAAACAAACGACGAGCTCCCCGGCCCAAGTTCAGCCACGCATCACTGGACACGCGCACCCGCATCGCCGCTCAGCCCGCGGCAGCCCCGCGCGCGAACCATTCGCTGGCCGGCGTTGATTAGGGTTTTGTGGAGTTCCGAGAAAAGGGGATTGCGTGGCCTCAACGGCCGGGAGAGAGGGCGGCGCGTACCTAATCGGCGGAGGAGGCGGCGGGGGGCGGGCCGGGACGCGAGCCTCCGGCGAAGGGAAGCGGGCGACGCCGACGAAGGGGAGGCGAAGGTGGGGGGAGGGTTTGCGGTTTGCGCTCGAAATCTGACGAAGGGGGGCGGGCGGCTCTCTGTTCGCACCAGCGGCGGCCGAGCAAATGAGTACTCGCGCTTGTGAGCGGACGTGAGGTCAAGGGGTTAAGGGGTTGGAGCCCAAACTAGGTATGGATCCGGACGGTATCGGGTGCGAGCCCCGTCACAGGTCTGGTGGGGTCTCTCTGATGGGGCCGTACCCACAGCCAGATTTTGACGGGTTCGGACTTTGGCTCCAATTATTACATAATGAATAAAAATTGTTTTTCTTTACCATCCGCCTAACCTAACCAAAGATCTGGCATTCACCCAGCGAGGGTAAGTTCGAGGAAATAATATCTCGCCCTAAAGTCTGACTCATGCAGCTGCGCTCACTCGCTGGCGCGAGTGCATGGACTACAGTCGTCCGATGTGATGTGCCTGCGCGCGATTCGTCCCGACCAGATGTCCGTTATGGATTGCGCGAAACGTGGGGCGAGTGGTGGCCCGGCCCCTTTATTCCAGGCGAAACCGCTCCCCCCGCCCACACCCCCCGCTCATCTTGTTCGAAACCACCCGCAGCCCCCGCAGATTTCATTCGAACTCCTCTCTCTCTTCCTTTCCTCTCCTCTAGCAACGGCCCGGCGAGGCGGGGTGCTGCAGTGGTGGATCCGACGTGGAGTCGCCGGTGCGGGAGGCCGTCCACGAGCGCCGCGAGTCGCCGGCTGCAGGCGGAGGTAAACCGCTATTTCCTCCTCCCCTGCTCCCCTCTTTTTCTCGCTCTGCTCCCCTGTTTGCGCTCCATGGAGTTAGGGTTTCGATGAGGGGGCGGGCACGAGGTTGTCCATGGCGTCCTCAGGCTCCGCGTCGTGAATGCTTTTGGAGGGCATGGCGTTGCTATGGCGGGGGAGGGGAGGGGTGGGTTTGTGCTAGGGGTAGGCGGGATTGAGTCGCTGTAAGGGGATACACGCGACCGAATCCTAGTGACGGGCGCATAGGATTCGTGTTTTCGATGTTGCTTGCTTCTCAAGACGCAGTTGCTCATAATTTCGATGGAGTTGCTTAGATTTTTCCTATAATTTGTGAGATGGAGGGACAGGGCAAGGGGATGCATCTTACCGGGGGCAGTTGCTCATTTTTTTGATGGCAGTTGCTCATAAATTCGATGCTAGTTGCTTAGTTTTTTGCTACAAATTTTTGCGAGGGGAGGGTCAGGGGATGCATCTTACTTGGGTAGTTGTTCATAAATTTGATGCTAGTTGCTTAGATTTTTTTCTACAAATTTGCGAGGAGGCGGGTCAGGGGATGTATCTGACTTGGGCAGTTCATCGAGGGGTCAGGGGATGCACTGTTTTTTGGGGGGAAATGGTTTTTGTGATTGGTTGATTTTAGTTTTAGTTATTGCCTAGATTTGCAACACCAAGTTGATGTCCTTTTTGTAGTGTTCTTTAAATTTACTGTATGAAACATGACGTTGCTTATATCCACCATCGAGTTGCGGTCCTTCATTGCAACTATGAATAGGAGATGAGATATCTCTCATGAATAAGCGGCAAAGCCTGAGTGTTTTTGATCTTTTAGCTAATGTGATGAAGATGAACATGTGACTTTTTTTGTGATGAGTAGTTTTTTATGTGCTTTATTTTTAGTTGCCACAAAATAATGAGTAGTTGCATAGTTCTCAATACCAAATTGCTTTTGCAAGCACTAGCAATTCAGTTGTTGAGTTATCTCTGGGTAGGGAATAAATGGAGTTTTGTTCACCTCCAAATGACAGTGATGTTAGCTCCAGATGCAAGTAGTATCATTTGAGCAGTTGAGTTATAGGGCTTTTGTATCTGGTTGTATCTGTTTTCATGAACATGGTTTTTTTTGTGTTTTCTTGTACATAATGGCTCCAAAAAGCAAAAGGCATGCGGGTAGAACTGATGGTGAAAATGAGGGAGAAGAAGTGGCAGCTCAACCAGCAAGGAGTAATGTTGGACGCAAGCGCG